TGATGCATAAAAATCAAGTTCAGCTAATTTGAGAAGAGGTCCATTTGGTTTCTAGTGAAAAACTGAACCTAATGTTTAGTGAACATGAAAACAGTGAGTTGGCGGAGGCCAGGGCTCCACAGTGCCATCTCCTGGTGCCAGGCCTGAAGCAGATCCTAGTATGGGACCTAGAAGTATGTGGGAACCAGAGTGGGGTGTCTTTTATCTTGTTTATCTGTAGAGGGGACCCCTGTTGTGGTAATTAATGCATTCATTTACCATTAAGGGTGTCTATTTACAAAAAAAGTGCTAATATGAGAAAATCCTGAAAATGGCCTGACACAGACTTAGGAAGATGTTATGAGAGACAGAACTAAATGGACCATACATGCACCAAGATGGAGAGGACAAACCTTACGGGTATCATCTGCCATCCATTTTTGTCATGTCAGAAGATGTAGCATTGTGAGCTGTGATCACCTCTGTTTTCCAGATGGATCCCTGTGTTGTGCAGCTAAAACTTGGAGGCCTTTCTCAAAATCATATTGGAAAGGAGTTAACCAATGTGTTAACTTTAAGGTTATTTTGGCCATATTTTTTTTAAAGATTTTTGTGTCTACAAACACTTGTCTGCTAATGACTAGTAACAAGTGCCCAAAGATTGTAAGTTCCAATAAATATGTAAACATTCATGCAATCATGTTTAATTTAACAGAGTTTAGTTGTTCTTGTGGCTCCTAATTGTGATCTCTTGGTATTACATACATGAAATATAAGTAATTTCCCTCAGTAAAATTATCCTTAGTTTGCTTGATGGACCTAAATATTCCAATATATAATGATTTTCAGTAAAGAGAACTTGGCTTCCGGGCACTGTGCCACCTGGAGAGATGCTGCTCTATGGCAGAGCCAAGACCTAAAGTTTGGGGAGGCAAGCGTGGGCTCACTCTAAGAAAGAAAATTCTAATAGCCAAAAGTTTAAAACTGAAATGGGCTGTCGTACAAAGTTAATACCCACCTCCAAGTTGCCGAAGTGAAGGCCACATAGCAATGGAAACATTATATGGGTAGGATTCCAACGTTTCCATCACTGCAAAAGAGATTATATGCACAGCTGTTTTTAAAAAGCACTCCTCTCACTTTTACTGTGTTGTAACTCTATGATTTGTGGGCCTATTGCCCCTTGTGGTAGATACTGGACACTTATTTCATTCACTGACCATGTGTTGCCTTTCCAGAGTCAGGCAGATGCGGCAGATTCGGTCATTAAAAATTTAAGTTACTCCTACAAGTCAGGCATATTGGCAGGAATGAATTGTAAATAAACTTCCTATCTAGGGTGATGTTTCTCTGCCTTTGGCTACATCAGAGTCACCTGGAAGCCTGGTGAAAAGGCTGATTGCTGGACTCTACCCTCCACTTTCTGATTCTGCTGGCCTGGGTGGAGCCCGAGAGTGTTTCTAACAACATCCAAGGACAGGTCAATGGACCACACATTATGAGTAGCACTGTTTTAGGGCAATGGTCTCAATCTCCCCCCTGCCTCATGTGCTCAGGACATTTAGCAAAGTCTGTGATGTTTTTGCTTGTCACAACTGAGGACTGGGAATATTACTGGCATCTAATGGGGACAAGCTAGGAGTCCTAATAAATATCCTGCAATGCACAGGGCAGTCCTCACACAAGGAATTAACTGGCCCAAACAGTAGTACTGAGGTTGAGAGACCCTGGTACAGAAGAAAATTAAGAAAATCAAGTAGTATTTGTAATAAACTTTAAATAATATAATGGTAGATTGTGATAAGGATAGTGTAGGGTGCTACAGCTGGGCCTAATTTAATCTAGGGTGTCAACTAGGGACACCAAGGTATGGGAGACAGTTGCTGTTCTCAGGGGCACCAGACATATAGACAGTAGGCCCATTTGTTTATTTAACTGTGGAGTAAAAATAGGGAATTAATAAAGGAGGCTGCCCAGTGGGATGGGAATGGGGTTTCTCAGCTTAAGTGACATTTGACAGCTGCATAAAATGGATTGGATTTTGCTGTGGCCATTGTACCCAAAGAGAACAGACTGTCCAAAGCAAAGTGAGAGCATGTTGGCCAGTGTGCCTGTGTCACAGGTGGGCACAGGTTACCAGGTTCTTGGTGATTATGTACAAATAATTGAACTGAACATGCAGAGTTTATAGCAGAAAGAGATTTATTAAGCAATAGTACACACTACAGAACATTGAGCAGGGCAACTCTGAGCAGAGGTTGACTTCAGGGGCTAGAAGGGTTTTACTCTTACAGGGCGATATTTCTTGGCTAGTTTTGGCAGGCTTTTATTGTGCATGTACAAGAATTGTATTACTTGAAAGCTATTGTATTACTTTGAAGCTATTGCTTACTCCCATGATTTTCCTTGATTGGCCACCAGGGAAGGTGATCACACAATGTTAATTTATTATAATGCTATTATAATGAAGCAGGGGTCATGTAGCATCTTCTGCACAGGTGCATTCATGATTGACCATAAGTCAGCACTTTTCCAGAAGTTGGCAACAACTGGTCTTAGAAGAGGACATCTGTCCTTTATCGACGTCTTTTGTCTTAGCCTTGGGGAACCTCTGGAGTTTCCTCCTTCCTGACCATCTCCTGCTTCACCTGGAATACAGTCCCAGAAAACCCAGAGAGGTTTCATGTAACCAGGTTAGAAAACCTTAAATGCCATTATTCAAAGAAGGGTCACTTTTATACTCCAGGCAACAGAAAAAATTAGAAAGGCTTAAAACAAGAGTGTTTATTGTGTTTTATAAGACAATAAAATCTAAATTAATGAAGCTTTGCTGTTTGTCTCTTGGCTTTGTGGAAAGCCTTAAAGTGCCTCAACTATAATAGTCAAATAAAATTTTTATTATGCCTCTTTATACATTAAACCTGGAAATTCGATATACATAGATTACAAAAAAAAAAGCTAAGAAGTTCAGAAAATATTAGCCCGTGCATCCTTTCTGCCTGATTCCTGATTGTCTTTTGCTACCGGAGCCTGTTTGTGAGTGAGGACATTTTGTCAATGAGCCAATTGGCCCTCAGGCAGCCTGGCAGTGCCAGAGCAGGTGTCAGTCACATCGGGGTTAGTCCAATTCACATTCTGCTCAGCTGGGTGTAGAACTTCCTTGTCTTGAGAGGAATCACCACCTACACTAGAATGTATAAGGTTGGGAGGGCCTCCCACCCAAGATCCCATGGCTGTTCCTTGATAGGAAACCTGAGTATCCTTTGGGGCTTCCATCCTGGGACTTTGCTGATAAGTTTTTTAATACTCACAGGATTTTTTTTATGTCACTTCATTCAGAATCTGCATCACAAACACACATACCAAACACACTTAACTGTTGGTTTCAATATCTCTGTGTCTCTCTTTTTCTTTCCTTCTCCCTCCCTCATTCTCACTTTCCCTGTGTCCCCAAACATTTAATTGTTGGTTTTTTGATCGAGCAGTTTAATGAAAACAAATGTATATCTTATCACCGCATAATGAGCTTGGCACCTCCCTGGAAACTGGGGCAGTTTTGCTGATTTATGTGCAATATTTATTGAATGCTTTCTGTGGTTCAGCACTATATCAAGTGATTTTTTTAAATGTATGGTTTTTAATGTATGCACATACTTAAGAAAATGCTAAAGGTATAAAAGGTTATACAACAAAAAGTAAGCCTTCCCTACTCAAATGTTTCTCCTTAAAATTGTTCAGAAACATTATAATATAGCTGGTTTCTTATGTGCCTTTCAGAGATATGTTTTACATTTACAAGCATATGTGTGCAATTTTTAACAGATTTCTAGATATTTCTATATAATTTTTCCCTCTCAGATGAAGAATATATAGTTAATGTTGCCCCCATTTTAGAGTTGATGTCACTGTGACAGTGAATGTAAGTAATTTGCTCAGGGTCACACAGTAGATGGCAGAGCTGGAATGTAGACCAGGAGTTCCAATTTTAAGCAAAACTGAACCAAGATTTACAGGCACCGTAGGCAAGCTAAAGATTTCATCCTCAAGCAGGTTCACTTTGCCCCACTTCAAAGCTCTTTTTTTAGGTGTTTGTTCACCATCTATCTAGATGAGGAGGTGGAGGTCCCACAAAGAAAGAACAGAGATGAGCATGACATTTTTCCTTTCCTTTCCTCCCAGGCAGTTCAGCTCATGCTCCCAAATTCCAGATAACACCCACTGAACAGTGTATGGCCAGACCCTCCCTCCTCAGAAGGCAGTTTAGGGACCATGGGTTATCACTCAAGCTCAGCTCCACTCAAGCTTCTTATTATAGTATTCACATTTCTAGTGATGTTTTGTTTTCCTGTTGTTGCCTGAATTTCCCATGATGGTTGGCAGCCCAGGCTGGCCTGTGCCTTCACCTGCCTCAGGTGCTAGGTGGGTGCTAGTCCTTGGTCAGTGGTCCTGCATCTTCACAGGCTCAGGCCATTCCACACAGGGAGCAGAGCAGACCCATTGTATACCACCTAATGTTCAGAGAGCCCAGACTTCTATCTGAGGAGTAGTAGAGACTCAGAGCTGTTCAGGCATTCCCATCACTCCTTCATTGCAGCAGTAGTGGTGACTGTTGAGGTCATTGTGCAACCAGATGCTGTACTTATACTCTCAGTGAGAGTTCTCAACCTAACTCATCAAAATGGCCTTTTAGATGATTGGCAGGTTGGGAAGAAAGAACTTGCACCATGTAGACTATGAGATGAGATGTCTTTGTGGCCAGGGCTTTGTTATAATGCCTCCCAAAAGCTCTGGGCACCTGCTAGGGTATGCCTTGAGAGGAGATTTGTGTGCTATTTAGAAGATGGTGTCTAACCAGAAATGCAAAAGTCAACACAGGCAACCATGGAGAAATGCTGTCAGAAGACCATACTCTGTTTTTAAATTGTGGCTATGTAAAGTGGCTGCATAGAATAGTAGTTCCTGGTGCTAACAAGACTGAGCTGTGTTGCGTGACTTATGTTTGTATTTCTCTTAACTGACAGGTAATAAGGAAGGAGCACATTCTACATTCTGGGTGTTGCTGAGTATCCTTCTGGGAGCTGTGGCTATGCTGTGCAAAGAGCAAGGGATCACTGTGCTGGTAAGACCTGAGACATGGTCAGGATATGCTATAAATGTACCCTTTCCCCTCCTATAGAGACATACTGAGCTGGGCCTGCCTGTGTGACCTCTGTTGCACCCCATGCTGTCCTACAGTTGTAGACATTCCTGGACCAACTACTTGTGCCCTCACAATCCTGGTGTTTCATATGGGAATTGACTGCCTCAGTTGACAATCATTAGCAACTGACGGAAATGGAGATTGGGAAGTTCCTTTTTCTTTATCACTTTTATTTAATCACAGATGACATACATTATTCCATCTGGCAACTGTCAAAATGTTCTCTACCATATATCTATGAGTGTTTCTGTTCTGCTTGTTTATTTTGGTTTTTAGATTCAATTGTTGATAGATATGTATTTATTGCCATTTCTTTGTTCATATTTTTGAACTCTTCTTCTCCTTTCTTCTTCTTCTTTTTCCAGAAGACCCTTTAACATTTCATATAATATTGTTTTGGTGGTGGTGGAACTCCTTTAGCTTTTTTTGTCTGGGAAACTCTTTATCTGTCCTTCGATTCTAAATGATAGCTTTGCTGAATAGAATAATTTTGGTGGTAGGTCCTTGCTTTTCATCACTTTGAATATTTCTTGCTAAAGTTTCTTTTGAGAAATCAGCTGGCAGTCTTATGGGAACTCCCTTGTAGGTAACTAACTGTGTTTTCTTATTGCTTTTAAGAGTTTCTCTTTGTCATTTTAATTATGATGTGTCATGGTGTGGGCCTGTTTGGGTCCATCTTGTTTGGGACTCTCTGTGCTTCCCAAACTTGTATGTCTATTTCCTTTGCCAAGTTAGGGAAATTTTCTGTAATTATTTTTTTCAAATAGGTTTCATTTTGTTCTTTGTTTTGTTTTTTCAAATAGGTTTTCAATTTCTTTCTTTTTCTCTTCTTCTTCTGGCACCTCCATAATGCAAATGTTGGTATTCTTGAAGTTGTCCCAGAGGCTCCTTACACTACCTTTGGATTCTATTCTCTTTTTGCTGGTCTGGTTGGGTGATTTTTGCTTTTTTATATTCCACATCACTGATTTGGTTCTTGGCTTCATCCCCTATACTGTTGATTCCATGTAAATTATTCTTCATTTCGGTTTATGTATCCTTCATTTCTGACTGGTCCTTTTTTTTTGGAATGGCAAAGGAGGATTTATTTATTTATTTATCTTTTTTTTAATATATTTTATTGATTATGCTATTACAGTTGTCCCATTTTCCCCCCTTCACTCCCCTCCACCCTGTATACCCTCTCCCACCCATATCCCCTCTTTAGTCATGTCCATGTGTAATACTTATAAGTTCTTTAGCTTCTACATTTCCCATACTATTCTTACCCTCCCCCTATCTATTTTCAACCTACAATCTATGCTACTTATTCTCTGTACCTTTGCCCCCTCTCTCCTCCTCCCATTCCCCTGTTGCTAACCCTCCATGTGATCTCCATTTCTGTGGTTCTGTTCCTGTTCTAGTTGTTTGCTTAGTTTCTTTTGGTTTTGCTTTAGGTGTGTTGTTAATAATTGTGAGTTTGCTGTCCTTTTACTATACATTTTTTTTATCTTCTTTTCTTAGATAAGTCCCTTTAACATTTCATAAAATAAGGGCTTGATGATGATGAACTCCTTTAACTTGACCTTATCTGAGAAGCACTTTATCTGCCCTTCCATTCTAAATGAAAGCTTTTCTGGATAGAGTAATCTGGGATATAGGTCCTTGACTTGGAATATTTCTTTCCAGCCCTTTCTTGCCTGTAAGGTCTCTTCTGAAAAATCAGCTGACAGTCTGATGGGAACTCCTTTGTAGGTTACTGTCCCCTTATCTCTTGCTGCTTCTAGAATTCTCTCCTTCATTTTTACCTTGGCTAATGTAATTATGATGTGCCTTGGTGTGTTTCTTTTTGGGTCCAGCTTCTTTGAGGCTCTCTGAGCTTCCTGGATTTCCTGAAAGTCTATTTCCTTTGCCAGAATGGGGAAGTTCTCCTTTATTATTTGATCAAATACGTGTTCAATCTGTTGCTTTTCCTCTTCCCCTTCTGGTACCCCTATAATTCGGATGTTGGAACATTTAAAGATGTCCTGGAGGTTCCTAAGCTTCTCCTCATTTTTTTGAATTCTTATTTCTTCATTCTTTCCTGTTTGTTTGTTTTTTTCTTCCTTCTGGTCCACTCTATTGTTTTGAGTCCCAGTTTCCTTCCCATCACTGTTGGTTCTCCGTGCATCTCCCTTTATCTCTTTTATGGCAACCTGCATTTTTTCATGTAATTTGTGCCCAAAATCAACCAATTCTGTGAGCTTCCTGATCACCAGTGTCTTGAACTGTGCATCTGATAGGTTAGCTATTTCTTGGTTGCTCAAAAGGATGAGTTCTGGGCACTGATTTGTTCTTCTATTGGAGCCATCTCTCTCTCTCTCTTTTGGGGGGGGTGGGTCTGGTTGCTCCTGCTATGGTGAGGGGCGGAGCCTTAGGTGTTCGTGCGGGCTGGGCACCCCAGTCGCTAGATTGTGACGTTGTATGTGGGGGCGGGGGCGGGGGTGCACAATGGCGGCAGCCCCACTCTCCTGGGATCTCAGTCCCTTTCCTGGGATCCTGGGCTGCACGCTCTGCTCTAGTCCACAATCACAGCCTCACTGGGTCCACCAGCTGCCGCTTGCGTACTCAGGAACCACCCGCTGCATGCCCAGGATGGCTTACGTGCTCCCGGTTGCCTTAGGTGCCCAGCTCTCCCTGCACTCTGCGCGCTGCTACCCGCGCTAGTCTCTGCCCCTCCTACCGGTCTGGATGAACGGTCTATTTCAACTTCTTGGCTGTCCAACTTCCATTCAGATAAATTCTCTTTCAGTTCTGGGTGTTATTCTGCCTCTAAATTGTTGTTGTTCTAATCTTGGTTGTGCATGGAGGTACTGTACGTCCACCTATGCCTCCACTTTGCCAGAAGTCCCTGACTGGTCCTTTTTTATACTGTTGTATTTCCCCCTGAGTTCATTGAGCATCCTTATAACCAGTATTTGCACTCTCCATCTAGTAGATTATGTGTCTGTACTCTGTTTAGTTCTTTTCTTGGAGTTTTGGTCTGTTCTTTTATTTGGGTCATGTTTCTTAGTCTCCTCGTTCTGGAAGCCCCTCCCTGTGTTTGTTTCTATGTATTAGGTAGAGCTGCTATGTCTCCCTGGCTTGGTGGAGTGGCCTAATGTAGTAGGTATTATGTAGGATCCAGTGGCACTGCCTCCCAGGTCACCCAACTTGGGCATTTGAGGTGTGCCACTCCCCCATGTGGGCTGTATACATCTTCCTGTTGTAGATGAGTCTCACTTGCTGTTGGCAGGTTAATGGGAGGGATTTACCCCAGGCTGATCAGCTGCAAGGGCTGACTTTGACCACCAACCACTAACCCCTGGCCACCATGAAGGATCGATCATCTGTGCAGGGGCCCACCCTATACAGCAGGACTTACTTCAGTGGGGTTCTGGTGTCCACTGAGTCCACCCCTTGAGTGTGTCACTTGTGGAGGTGGTTGGGTATTGATGCTTTGACATGGTCTAAAGCAGGCTACTGAGTACTCTGGCCCTGGGGCCTTCCAATAGGTGCAGGTCAAGGTCATATGCTGCCTGTGTTCTTTCCGGGGCCACTCAACAAGAGCTACAAAATGATCTGTAGATGGCTGCTACTTGTGCTGGACTTAGAGGTGCGCAGGCAAGGCCAAACTGTGAACCAAGGCTGGCTGCTGCTAGTGCTGGGCCTGGGGCCACTTAGCAAGAGGTAAGGGGCATGCTGAAGCCAAATGCTGCTTTTGAGAGATTTTATGAAAATCTGAAGCATGAGCAGTGACTAATCATTTGTATGGAAAAGCCACAGGAAACAGCTTGGGTGGGCCCCAAAGATGGGTGGGACTGGGCCTCGGGGAATCACCGGGAGGTGGGAGTTGAATGGTGTTAGCCAGGTTGATGGAGTCTGAGATATGGTGCCTTCCTGCCTGCTCTATGTGGGAAGGGCTCACCAAAGGAACAAAGGCCTCTGCCAGCAGTTCTGAGAGTGGGAGGTTCTTAGAGTGGTGATTAGTTTTCTTGGAGAGATCTTGTAGAAAAAGGTGGAGGAATGGTTTGAGTTTGAGTTTTCTTGGATGCTCTCAGATTTTGGCACTCCTAAATACAACAGTGGACTGACCCATATGTGATTCTGGTTGTGATTAAACAAGTATTGAGTATATGTCATGTTATACTTGGCATCTACCGGAAACGTGAAAGAGGGAAGGAGAGAGCCTCTGATGAGTGAAACACACACCTCTGATGTTTGATCCGAATTAAAGCCCCAGGAAGGGAGAGGCATTGAAATCCACTTTCCTTTTTCTCTATTCTAGGCAGTTTTCTGCCTTACACTATTAGAAATAAATCTATAAATTAGAGATGTGAGCAGAGGTAGAGAATTGGAAAACAAAGGTGTGGGATGTGATGGCCCATGTGGGATTACCTTGAGAAAGAAAGGGCAGTCAGAGCTATTTTGGGTTTGACACAAGTCAAGGCAAAGATCAATGGTTTTATTGGTCTTGATTTATAATGTCAAGTTTAGCTAGCTAAAAGATGGTATAGAAAGAATTACTGTATAAGATACTTGAATTTCATGAGTTACTTTAAAAATTTTCTCTAAGCCAATATTTCTCAACTTTGCTATTACTGACTTTAGGGCTCAATTTTTTTTTCTTATGGAGAGCTGACCTGTGCACTGTAGGATGCTTAGCAGCATCCTTGGCCTCCTTTTACTAGCTGCCAGTAGGACACCCTCAGTTGTCACAACCTGAAATATTTCCAGCAAAATCACCCTCTTGAGAAGCACTGCTCTGAACTCTTGCTCCTCAGCATTACCTGGGAACTTACTAGAAATTTAGTGTTTCACATCCTACCCCAGGGCTGCTGAACCAGAATCTTTCTTTAACAAGGTCCAAAAGTAACCCCCATTAATGTTTAAAAAGCCCTAAGGAATTAGTTTGAATTGATGTGAAGAAAGATATAGTGATATTTAGCTGTTTTCAAAAATTTGATAAGAATCTGGACATTTTGATGATGCATTTAAATGGAATGGAGGTGGGAGGGTCCAACTTATGTTTGGCTCAGTCCTCATGATAGCATGCGCCTGTCACCCCTTGGTGACTCTCCTATAGCTCACAGGCAGAAAATCAAACAATGTAAAAAGACAGTGACAATGGCAACTCACTGGGGAGCTTCTGCTTTCTAGAAAATAGTTTATACCCAGGCAGAAATGGTCTTCTGAGACCCACTAAAATAATGAATTACATGAGTGACCAAAATCAGGATTCCTTGAAATGATTAACCCAGCACTAGCCCATTATTATTGGATAAGTAGTGGCTCTCAGCATTTCTGAGAAAAGGTTAAGTAGGAATGTCATCCTTGTTTGAAAACCACAAATTACCACTGGCATCTGTTGATTTGAGATCTTCTTTGCCACAAAGCCTCATATGAAAAAGACCCAAGCATTTAGGGCAGTGTTATCCAAATACACCATGTATATTCTGACTACTTTATCCAGATTGGGCAGAGGGTCCTGCTATATGACATTTTCTTCAGCAGGAACATCTATGGAAAAAATCCATTGTAGGATAGACAATAGAATTCAAGCCTCATCTAGCTTTCAGCCTATGATTATAGGTAATAGCTGCAAAAGCAGTCCTCACCTCCTCAGAAGAAACTGTCATGGTGGTACTAGAAGCTATTAGGATGGGCAGAGCTACAGTATCACACTCTCAAAATCCAGTGGCATCATGGAATTAAAGTTATTTATCATTCACTTAACTGTTGTGGACAGGGGTTCACATTATAGAGGTGACTGTCCTCCATATAGTTACCCAGGCTGGCAGAGCCTCTGCCATCATTAGTGTACAGTTCCCCAAAGTCGCCTGGTCATCCCCGTCATCTCTATCACAGCCAGCTGGAAGTGGAAACCAAGTGGTGGAGCATGTCTAGGTTTATAACCAAACTTCCAAGATGGGGCACTCTCACTTCTACCCATATGCTGTAGACTGGAAGTCAGTCACATGACCACACATAACTGCAGGGGAGGCTGGGAAATGCATTCTGGCTGTGTGCCCAACAAGAACAGAAAGCTGGTGAACAATTAGGAGACTGAAGATGAGAGATCTCCAGTGGCCCATCAGAGACAGTTGTTTATGGTCTGCTCCTGTTTCTGCTACATTTGCCAAAGTCAGTCAGTACTTGGGGTTCTTGATGTGTAATTACTTTTATATGGCTGAGTTTTCAAGATTGATGGCTGCCTTTATCTTTTAGGCATAACAATTGTCCAGATAACCACTCTGTTATATCAGCTAAGGGACTGTATTATAGTAAAGAAAAAGAAAGGAAAGGAAGGACCTTTGAAGAGGTCCAAATTTCTAGGTAGAATTAAGAAAAATTTACTAGATAATAAAATTGATATAACATATTACTGTGAGCTAATTTCATAGGAACAATGGTTGTTTTTTAAGAGCTGAAGAAGTCTTCCATAATTATCTAATTTACTGCATCCCTTGTGTAAATTTAGTAACAAAATTGTGCAATATAATTGCTACCTAATCAGAGTTAGGCTCTTGCATCATTGATTGTCTTGTTTTGCTTCCTTAGGGTTTAAATGCAGTCTTTGACATCTTGGTGATAGGCAAATTAAATGTTCTGGAAATTGTCCAGAAGGTACTACATAAGGACAAGTTATTAGAGGTAAGTATATACTTTTGTCTCCAGCTCCAACATGGAAAATGTCAAGTACAGCTGATTTGAAATGCCATTTTCAAAGTATTTTTTGCTATTTTGAATTCTAAAATAGCCAGCCTTTTGAAGCACAGTGTCAACACAGTTCATGTAGAATTGCTGCACATTTGTACCTGGCTTACTGACATTTTTATTTGAAAATCTGTGACATCAGGGGCTTTGCGGTGTCTTTTCAGAACATTGGCATGCTCAGAAATGGGGGCCTCCTCTTTAGAATGACCCTCCTGGCCTTGGGGGGAGCAGGAGTGCTCTATATGCGCTGGAAAATCATGGGCACTGGACCGCCACCATTCACCGAGGTGGACAACCCTGCCTCCTTTGCTGACAGCACGTTGGTCAGGGTGAGTTCTGGGTCTGTCTGCAAAATTCCCAGGTCCTTCTTCTCTCTTCTTCATTTCATTCCCAGCACACCCACAAAATCCCTAATAAGTGGAACATCTTTGTGTTTGTTTACTATCAGGAAGGATATTCTAGGATGAAACCAGGCTTTTGTTAGGGGTTGAGCAGGTAGAAATCCCTTGCATTTCCATTCTAATGAAAATTAAGAAGTGGTTCCTTCTAACGTCAGATTTCTTGCCAGCCTTGTTAGTGTCTCCTAAGCCCATGACATTTATTTTAAAGGAGATTGACATGGCAGGGTTAATATAAAATATAGCAGTATCACTGGTGTCTGTAAAAGTCTAATGTATTAAGACTATTGCAAAGGTTTGCTTTTTCTGAAAGCAAGGGTGTCAATTCTTAATAGGTCATTTCATAGAGACAGAAACCAAGGGAACCACTGTAGAATCCTATTCTTAAGTTGTTAAGCATATAGGTGACCTCTGGGCCTCAGCTTTCCTGGGTCACAGACTTTGGGCATCACTAAGTAAATCAACATAGTTTGCCCAGAAATATGACAACGGTATAGCAGTTCGGTGACTATGCTGCATTTTCCTCATTTAAAATCTGAATGTATTTAATATCTTGCATATTATAACCACAGTTCATTGTAGAACATGTCAACATTTTATTTTATACAACTGCTTTCCTTGAACAGAAGCATACAGATGCCACAGAAGTGAATTTAAGAATATACATATTCACTTTTTATGTCAAATAAATGTTTGTTTTCCTTTTGACTGACAGGCCATAAATTATAATTACTACTATTCATTGAATGCCTGGCTGCTGCTGTGCCCCTGGTGGCTGTGTTTTGATTGGTCGATGGGCTGCATCCCTCTCATTAAGTCAGTTGGTGACTGGAGGGTAATTGCACTAGCAGCACTCTGGTTCTGCCTAATTGGCCTAATATACCAAGCCCTATGCTCTGAAGACAGTCACAAGAGAAGGTAAGAGACAATGCTGAATTTTAACTTCCACACTGGGTTGAGTCAGGAGCATTTTGCTAAATTCAGCACTGATCATTTTAACAATTTTGTGGAAGTAATGTCTAAGGACATTGATTTCCAACACATATTTATGACTAGGATGAGTTTGTCCATCTGGAATCCATCCCTGGCTTCAACTAGTGGGGAGTGAACCTGGAGAAGAGGGGTATGGATGACTCCTTTATATCCCCCTCCTTTTCCTGAAGTAGCATTTTGAGACCCTTTCCTCAGTAGGTGGTAAAGAGTAATTTATGGTCAGAACAGAGAGTGTAATTGATGTGTGTTGTGCCCATTATTTCACAATTCTCCTTCAGAAAACCTTGGTGGATGCTATAGTGGTTCCTTCTGTTGTTTGGTATGAAATAAACTGCTGCCCCAAAGAGACTATTCTTTCTCACCAAAGAAAAGAGGGAAAAAGTGTTATTGAGAAAATAATTGGAGGAAAAAACAAATATTTCATGAGAAAGAAAGCTAAGACAATTTCCTTTATGCATAAGTATTTATGGAATTAGATTAGTAGTTTCTCAAATTAAGTTTCAAGTTTACCTGTGTTTTAAATTGTTTCATAATTCTAAAGGACAACAAAATTTGTCCCACTTCATTTACACATGGGCAGTTACATTTTATTTTTAAAGAACTGTAGGCACAGGGTCCAGGAAGGAGGCACCACACCTGATCTGGTTTCCCAGTTCCTTCTCTTATATTACATGGGAAATTAGAAATGATAGCCTAGTTCCAGCAGTGTTTCATTGCTCAGCTTCCTTCTCATTGACTGAAATTTGTGCTCTTGTAACTTCCAAAAAGATATTAGTTTATTTTAGATCTTGTAAAGATCTAGTTTAAACTAGTTAAGCATTATTATACCTGTTCAGTTTGTGGGGGTTTTTTCCCCCTATGAAAACTGTATTAGATTAATTGGGACCAGTATCCACTGAGCTATTCAGTACCTAATGGTTTGAGGTGAGTTGGTAGTAGATAAATTAATAAGGCCTCACAAATGTAGTCATCCTAACGTTATGATATGAATTGTGTGACTTGTGAATTTTATCCTTATGTCTGATGCTGAGTGCTTTTCAGTAAGATTTTTATGTCTTATCCTAATACTGTCAGGCTAAACTCTTTCTACTGATGACACATTTTGTTGATGCCTGTTCTCAATTGATGTTGTGGGGGAAAAAGGGCTTTTATTATTATTTTAATGTTAAGTAACATATTTTTCTTGAGAAGTCTAAAATAGATATATTAAGTATTGTACTTCTCATTTTCCAGGGTCCTAACGTTGGGCCTGGGATTCCTCATTATCCCATTTCTTCCTGCAAGTAACTTGTTCTTCCGAGTGGGCTTTGTGGTGGCCGAGAGAGTTCTCTACCTCCCCAGTGCTGGGTACTGCATACTGCTGACTTTCGGGTTTGGAGCTCTCAGTAAACATACTAAGAAAAAGGTACTGGCCAAGAGTGGTTTTGTTCATAACCAAGGTGGTTGGATGGAATTTCCTCATGATGTTTACCGTGTCTCTCTATTCTTAAGAAACTAATCACTGCTCTCGTACTGGGAATTATGTTCATAAACACGCTGAGGTGCATGATCCGCAGCGGCGAGTGGAGGAATGAAGAGAAGCTTTTTCAAAGTGCCCTGTCTGTGTGTCCTCTCAATGCTAAGGTGTGTTGGCTGCCATGTTTTTTAGAAAGACATTACTAGGAAATGTTTTAAGTTCAACAGTTGAATAAGAATATTTGCCTTCATACAAGAATCTAGCATAAGATTTGAGTTTGATGTTATTTTGATAAAATTTATTAAAATTCCACTTAGGCAAAATAATACAAAGAAATTATTAAAACCGGACAATGTCAGTGAAACAGGATTACTTAAATAAGATTTTACTCATCCAGTTGGTCCAATCACCCTTCATAGAACATAGTAGGTATTCAAGAAATATCAGCTTTCTTAGGTTCATTTTAGGTTTTTGGTTGTCACATTAAATAACAAAAATAACAAGAAGGGAATGTTACTTGCTCACATGGGATACCAATAAGTTAGGGTAAACGATTTTCTGTGAACATAGATCATTATTATTACTCAGTAATGATTCATTCTCTCTTGGATCATTCAAGTTCAAGCTTCCTAGGATGCTCCAAATGAGATCCTCAAAGGGTAAAAAAAAAAAAAGAGCTCTCTGGAGTTTGATCTCATTTTTACATTCTGTATTTAAGAAAAAGCAATGATTTCAGGTAAAATTATATGATCAAATCTAATGAATAGTTGGTGTCTTATTGTGACCTTGAAGTGAACAGTCATATAAAAGGTCCTGACTTCTTGTCTTTTTCTTGGATTAAAAAACCTTGCTCATGTTTTATAGTTAAGAGATTTAGGTAAAAGAGTGAATTGCTTCAAACTTTTATCATTCATTTGATTTGCTGGCCTACCCATTTATTTTATGCTACTGAAAATAAATTGCCTATAATTTAATTTTATTAATGTTAATAGATTTGCTTTATTTTTACTTTTCTGTTTCAGTAGAAGTACTCTCCCTCCTAGCTCTTCCATATAAGGAACTGAAATTTCTTTGGTAATGGCTCTATAGTTAATCTTCATTATCTTCTTTCTAAGGTTTTTAGAGAAAGGCATATATATATATGTTAATATATATTAATATATATGTTAATATATTATTAATATATTAGGCATATATTAATATATATATATTAATTTTCCAAGTGGGAGAAACCGAGGCATAGAAAAATGGAACTGACATTATTTAGCTTAGTAACCTAGGTACTAGATAGAGACCTGGTATGATGGAGTGCCCAGGTTACTCTAGTAAATGGGGGAGGAGGAGATGGGACATATGTTATTTTAAGCCTATCTGTCTTTTCTAATAGCACGACTTCATGTGTTGTAGGCTAGAAAATACAGAGTGTACACATATGGGTGTGCATACAGTTTTTATATGGCAGTGTGTGTAGTTTTCTTTCTTTAATTTAAAATATACATACTTATAAGACCTCATCTTCAAAATGGTCTTTTCTTCTTTTCTAAAGTATATTTTATTGATTATATTATTACATTTCTCCCAATTTTTCCCCTTTTGGCCCCCTCTGCCTGGCACCCCTTTTTCCCTCCAGCAGTCCCCCACTTAGTTCATGTCCATGGGTTGTACATATAAGTTCTTTGGCTTCTCCATTTCCTATACTGTTCTTAACATCCCCCTGTCTATCTTGTACCTCCCAGTTATGCTTTTTAATCTGTGCACCTGTTCTCCCATTTGTTACCTTCCTCCTCCCAGCTGATAACCCTCCAAATGACCTCCATACTTATTATTATGTTCCTGTTCTGGTCATTTGCTTAGTTATTTGCTTTTTAAATTTTTTTTAAGGTTCAGTTGTTGATAGTTGTGAATTTCTTGCCATTTTAATGTTCATAGTTTTGATCTTCCTTTTCTTAAATAAGTTCCTTTAACATTTCATGTAATAATGGCTTGGTGACAAACTCCTTTAGCTTTACCTGGTCTGGGAAGCTTTTTATCTGTCCATTTATTCTAAATGATAGCTTTGCTGGATAGAGTAATCTGGGTTGTAGGTCCTTGCTTTTCATCACTATGAATATTTCTTGCCAGTCCCTTCTTGCCTGTAAAGTTTCTTTTGAGAAATCAGCGGATAGTCTTATGGGTACTCCTTTGTAGGTAACTCTCTGGTTTTCTCTTGCTGCTTTCAAGATTCTCTCTTTATCTTTAACCTTTGGCATTTTAGTTATGGTTTGTCTTGGTGTGTTCCTCTTTGGGTCCAACCTGTTTGGGACTCTTTACTTCCTGGACTTGTATGTCTCTTTCCTTTTCCGAATTAGGGAAGTTTTCTTTCATTATTTTTTCAAATAAGTTTTCAATTTCTTGCTCCTCCTCTTCTACTTCTGGCACCTCTATGATTCAGATGTTGGCATGTTTGGAGATGTCACAGAGTCTTCTTATACTATTGTTATTTTTTTGATTTCTTGTTTCTTCTTCTTTTTAAAAAAATTTACAATTGTTCAGTTATAGTTGTCCCGGCTTTTTCCCTATTGCTCAACCCTACACCATCCCCACCCACTCCCACAGTCAGTCCCCCACATTGTACATGTCAATGAATTCTCTATTTGTGTTCCTTTGTTTCCCCTTCCTCTTCTTTCCCGCATTATCTCCTTACCCGCTCCCCGCTGATCACTGTCTGTTCTTTATTTCCAAGTTTCTGGTACGACTTTGCTCATTTGTTTGTTTTGTTGATTAGGTTCCACTTAAAGACATATGGTATTTTTCTGTCACTGCCTGGCTTATTTCACTTAGCTTAATGTTCTTCAGTTCCATCCATGCTGTCACGAAGGGTAGGAGTTCCTTCTGTCTGCTGTGTAGTATTCCATTGTGTAAATGTACCATGGTTTTTTGATCCACTCATTTACCGATGGGCACTTAGGCTGTTTCTAGCTCTTGGCTGTTGTAAAGAATGCTGCTGTGAACACTGGGGTGTATGAGTTCTTTTGAATTGCTGTTTCAGGATTCTTAGAGTATAGTCCTAGCACTGGGATTGCTGGATTGAAACACAGTTCCATTTTTAGTTTTCTGAGGAAATTCCATAATGTTTTCCAAAGTGGGTGCACCAGTCTGCATTCCCAACAGCAGTGTACTAGGGTTCCCTTTTCTCCACTTTCCTCTCCAGCAGTTGTTTGTTGATTTGTTTATGATGGCCACTGTGACCGGTGTGAAGTGGTATTTCATTGTGGTTTTAATTTGTATCTCTCTAATGGCTGGTGATGTTGAGAATTTTTTCATAGATCTGTGGGCCCTCTGTCCTCTTTGGAGAAGTGTCTGTTCAGGTCCTTTGCCCATTTTTTAATTGGATTGCTTGTCTTCCTGGTGTGGAGTCATGTGAGTTCTTTATATATTTTGAACATCAAACCTTTATCCTGGGCAAACATGTTTTCCTATACAGTTGGTTCCCTTTCCATTTTGTTGATGTTTTCTTTAGCCATGAAGAAGTTTTTAGTTTGATGTAGTCCATTTGTTTATTCTTTCTTTTATATTCCTTGCCGTAGGGGATGTGCTGATGAAAATATTGCTGTGTGGAATATCTGAAATTATCCTGTCTATGTTTTTCTCTAGGACTTTTATGGTGTCAGGACTTATACCTAAGTTTTTTATCCATCTTGAGTTTTTTGTGTATCATGTCAGTGAGCGGTCTAGTTTCATTTTTTTGCATGTACTTGTCCAGATCTCCCAACACCATTTGTTGAATAGACAATTTTTACTCCATTTTATGCTTCTTCCCCCTTTGTCAAATATTAAGAGACCATATCGACAGGGGTTTATTTTTGGGCTCTCTAATCTGTTCCATTTTTCTATGTGTCTGTTCTTGTGCCAGTATGAGGCTGTTTTGTTTACAGTGGCTTTGTAATGTAGTTTGATATCAGGTATTGTGATGCCTCCTACTTTGTTGTTCTTTCTTAAATTTGCCAAGGCTATTCAGGGTCATTTATGGCTCCATGTAAGTTTTTGAAATGTTTGTACTAGATCTATGAAATATGTCATTGGCATTTTTATAAGGATTACATTGAATCTATAGATTGCTTTGGGTAGCATGGACATTTTGATGATGTTAATTCTTCCAGTTCATGAACACGGTATATGCTTCCATTTATTCGTGTCTTCCTTAATTTCTTTCTTCGGTGTTTTGTAGTTTTCTGAGTTAAGGTCTTTTACTTCCTCCATTAAGTTTATTCCTGAGTGTTTTATTTTTCTTGTTGCTATAGGAAATGGGATTTTTTCCTAATTTCTGTTTCTGATATTTCATTGTTGGTGTACAAAAATGCCTTCTATTTCTGAATGTTGGTTTTGTATCCAGCCCTTTTGCCACATTCATTCATTACCTTGAATATTTTTTTGGTGGAGCCTATAGGGTTTTCTATGTACAGTATTATGTCTTCTGCAAACAGTGGCAGTTTTGCTTCCTCCTTTCCAATTTGGATGCCTTTTATTTCTTTTTCTTGTCTGACTGCTGTGTCTAGAATTTCCAAATAGTATGTTGATAGAAGTGGTGAAAGTGGACACCCTTGTCTTGTTCCTGATCTTAGTGGAAAAGCTTTTAGTTTTCAACCATTGGATATGATGTTGGCTCTAGGTTTCTCATATATGGCCTTTATTGTGTTGAGGTATGCTCTCTCTATTCCTACTTTGCTGGGTGTTTTTATCATGAATAGGCTGGATGTTTTTATCATGAATAGGTGCTGTGCTTTACCAAATGCTTTTTCAGCATCTATTGATATGACATGTGGTTTCTGTCTTTTGTATTTTTTATGTGGTATATTATATTTATTGATTTATGAATACCATCCTTGTATCCCTGGGATGAACCCCATTTGATCATGGTGTATGATCTTTTTAATATATTGCTGGATCCGGTTTGCCAGTATGTTGTTGAGCATCTATATTCATCAGTGATATTGGCCTCTAGTATTCTTTTTTTTTGTCGTGTCTTTATCTGGTTTTTGAATGAGGATAATACTGGCCTCATAAAAAGAGTTTGAGAGTCTTTCTTCTTCTTGGATTTTTTGGAATAGTTTAAGAAGAATTAGGGTTAGCTGTTTTCTAAATGTTTGATAAAATTCTTCTGTGCATTGGTCTGGTCCAGGATTTTTGT